CCCACACCCACACCCAAACACACACCACACCGGCCCTCCCATGACAGCAGTCCAGGGCCACACCTTGTTCAGCGTGGGATCGTTAAGGACCTCCTTGGACAGCTTGTGGGTAACTTCCACACAGTCCAGGAGCTGCAACAAGGCAGTCCAGAGCGTCTCAGGGCAGTCCGGCGGGCGGGCGGGCGGGAACGCGCGGTCTGCCCCTCAAGCCGGCAGGAGCCGGCTGGGCGGGTGGGAGGGGCAGACGTGCTGAATGCGGCCAAACTTCGAAAGCTGCAACCGCCACAATCGGGTTCCCCAGCCGCTGCCCAGCGGGTTGCCACCTGCCCGCCCCGCCGGTGTGCATCGTGGGTTGGCCGTGGCTTACAAGGGCCCCACCGCATGGCTGTGGTCTTAAGTTCCTGTGCCGCCGCGCGGGCCAGCCGCATTGCGTGGCAAGGGGCTGACCAGACCCATGCTCCCAGCCCGCGCGGCCGGCTCACATGCCGAGCACCCGCCCCAAGAAGCAGCAAGTATCCCACACCTGAGGCTCGTAGGGGGCGCTCGGCTCGTCATCGTCGGCCCCTTTGCGATGCTGTGACGTCGGTGCAGCCACGCCCCTTCTGGCTGGCGCCGCGCCGTTGGCGCCCCTGGGGCCGGGAGGGGACGCCTCCAGCAGAGGCAGGTCCTCCGGCGGCGCTGTGTATGATCTGGAGAGTACTGGAAGGCCGTTTGAAGGCGCCTAGGATGGCGCGCGTATGAGGGAGGTGGTGGTCGAGGGTGTGCACATTACAGGATAATGAGTGGATCGACGCGGCTGCGCTTACTGTACTGTTGCGTGCAGGGCCGAGGGCGGGTGCTGGGGGCCGGGCTGTCATGACACGGGACACGTGGCCAACAGCATAGTGTGGCGCGTCGTGCGCACCATTGTGACGAATCTGGATCGCAGGACCGTTCCTCCGCTACTAGTCGGCTCTCTGCAGTTGCTGACTGTACTTTGATCTACGGTTTGTGCGCGATGGTGACATATCTTAAATCAATTGAGAAAATATTGTCACCAGAATCTTGACGCAATATGTGGGCGAACGTAGAGCCGCGTGAAGAATTACGGTACTTTACTGCAGCTGCGACACGGTCGATCGCTGGCTGTGATGATCAAAGCCTTGTGAAGCTTTGCATGACTTATAAGAATGCAATGCTCTCATGATCCACGGGCTCCCCGTCACGCCTGCTGGCGCCAGTGATGCAGGGGCCGCCCGTGATGAGGCTCATCACTGATGACCACCTGGCAGGTGGTGTCGCACCGTCTGGTGGCTGTGTGAGCGGCGAGACGGGCCATTGCACCTGAACTAAGGCCCAAGCACTTTCCATGTGCGTATCGCCTTTCTTTACGTTGTGCTGTACCGCTGATCAATCCATTATTTGTCCCGGCGGTCACCACACGAGTGCGGGACGCCATCGATGAACACTGCAGCAGGGTGCAACAGGGATAGCTCCCCTCATCCCTGTTGCCCCCTGCTGCTCCGGCGTGCTTGCCTCCCTGACTTTTGGTAACGTTAGATGTGATTGTATTCATTGCGATTCCAGGAGTTTTATTTCCAGATATCCCAACTTGAATCATTTAGAAGATTGCCAGAGACCACGGTATCAACTAGACACCTCTTCAATTGCCGAACACATTGCAGCCACAACAGGCCACGGGCAGCACAGAGTTGTGGCAAGGGGGATGTAATAAACTTCAAGCGTACACACACACACACACACGCGCGCGCGCGCGCGCGCACCACGTGTGTGCGAGCGTGCACACATAGCATGTCTCCCTTGTATTGTTGTGTAGGGCCAGTGGATTAGGATTAGGATTGTTACAGCGTCCCGCGGCCTCCAGCAGAAGAAGCATTTGAACGGTCTTTCAAGCAGCAGTGGAAATGTGTGTGCGTGTGTGCAGGACGGGCACCAGGCCAAGCGTCGCTCTATGCCCGCCTGCCCTTCCGCAGCTGAACCTTGTGTCTCAGCCGTGAGCGAGGGAGTCCCTTGCATGCAGCCCGCGATGACCTCCAAAGAGCAACTTGCCCCTCAGGCGACAGTGGATATTGTGTCCAACGCTCCGGCACCGGCGCGGGGCCGGCGTGCTGGGCCGACACGCTGGGACCCTCGGGGGTCGAGCCCTTGGGCAGCAGTGCTCTTTTCCGCACTGCATTGCAGCTCATTGGTGAGTTTCTGTGTCGCAAACTGGCGCGCCACCTGCAGATTGGGGCCGTGTGTCAGACTGATTCCGCCGTTTGGGCTCCAATTGTTTCAGGGCCGCCAGCCAAACAGAACGAGATCCCTACAATTGTTAATTCCCCCAAGTCCTCTAAAAATTCGTGAGTTTGCTTGCCGTCTGAGCCGCTGTAAACCTCCTGCACCCATTAAGGAATCACTCCCTTCCCCCGTGCGGCGACGCCGCCCCCCTCACCCCACGGGCCCAGCGCCGGCGGCGCAGCAGGGCGCGCGCCGCGCGCCGCAAGCTGCGCCCGCCGCGGCGCAAGGCCCCTAAGGGCAACGGGTGCCTCGGACGGCTTCGGATGCGCACAGCCCGCGCGCCCCGGCCCGGCCTTGGCGGGGTCCGGGCGGGGCCCGGCGGCCGCTGCGACGCGGCGGCCGCGGCAAGGCCCCACCCGCGCCCCGCGGCGCCGCCGGCGGGCCGTCAGCCGCTCGTCTCGACGCCCGCGAACGGGCGCGGGATCGTCCAGAGCTGCGCCGGGTCGGTGAACACCTCGTAGGGTGGCTCGTCGTCGCGCGGGTAGGGGAGGGAGAAGCGCCCCTCCCTGCACTCCTCGAACCGCGCCGCCTCGCCGCCGCGGTCGGTCAGGCAGAAGGCCTCCCTGGAGGCCGGGTCGGGGTTGCGCCACACGATGCGGAACATGATGGAAGACGTCCGGGGGTGCAGCGTGAGGTTGGGGCGCTCGGACTGGTCCTGGTCTGGCTGGAACGAGATCTGGTTCAGCCCGGCGTGGGTGTTGCAGTCCGCGACGAGGGCGTCGATGTTCTGGGGCCCAGACCAGTGCTCATCGGGCCATGTGACTGACCGACGGAGGCACATGTCGCGCCAGGCCTGCTTCCAGCTCATGTTGGTCCACAAGTGGTAGCCTGCGCGTTGACCAGGGCGCCCGCCGTGATGATCAGGGTTGATACGGTCAGGACAGCAATGATGGGCAGGGCAGGGAGTTTCGGCGGTGGAAGTGTTGAGCAGTTGGGGACACAAGCGCCCGCGGGGGCGCCGGTAGGGATGCATGCGTGCAGCGAGTCCCAGCAAAAGGGCTACTGCAGCGCGGCCCTGCCTCCGGCTGCGTCCTGCATGAATTGTACTGGCATGCAGCTCATGTGCTGCAGCTGCAAGGTGCAGCTGCTGGTGCGCTCTGCTACCCACCATTGTGCTGCCAAAACTGCCATGCCTTGTTGTTGCACTCCCAAGTCAAGGCATAGAATGTTGACCATGCTGACCTGTCAGCATATGAGTGATGGGAAATTCAGCAAAAACACCTAGAGACCCAAGGCAATTGTCCGGAGAGGCAGGCAGCATGCCATGTGTACAAGAACACAGCATTGTCCACGCACGGCCAGTGCGTGGCAGCATTCTGACCACCGCCGCAACCAACGGTTGGAAAGCAAATCGTTCCTGCATGCTGTAGTCCCAGCATCCAGAGCTTTGCCCTCAACCCGCCGTGGGCGGCACAGCCCAAGCCCAAGCACTCACTTGAAGGGGCCGCCGCCGCCGTCGAGGCAATGGCTGGGCCGCAGCACAGGGTGAATCAGCACACCCTCGCCGGTGGCCAGCGCCTTAGAAATCCAAGAGGCAACCCACCCCACATCAGACACGCCAATCAGCTGCCTGTGGGACTGCTCTGCCTGCTCTTGCTGCTCTTGCTGCTCCTGCTGCTCTCGCCGCTCTTGCTGCGCTTGCGGCTCTTGCTGCGCTTCCTGCTGGTGCCCGTACGCTTGGTCAAGTTGCTGCTGATCCTGCTGCTGCGCCTGTTGCAGCTCCTGGCCCTGCTGTGGTTCTTGCAGCAGCTGCTGCTCCTGCTGCTGCTGCTCTTCCTGCTGCTGCCGCTGCTGCTCCTGCTGCACGAACCCGGGTTGCTCAAACTGCACAGGCGCGGGCAGGGCGCCTGCACGGCACAGGGGGGGGGAGTCAGGTGCAGAGTCAACCGCAGACGGAGCCGCCTACATCATCGCAGGCGGGACAGTATCTATGCAGCTGAATGTTCGGTGGTAGCGGTGCGCTTTGCCTGATGGGTGGCAGGCCGCCAAGTGGCTCTAGCGAGATTGCCCAATTAATTCGTGTGCTGCCCCTGGATCATTCGATTTCGGCCGCTCTCGGCGGGCGCGCCGCGCATGCATACTAACGCTGCTGCCACATCTCCGGCCCACCTGCAACACCACGGGCCAAGGATGACGCGCAGAACGCCAGCAGTGCCAGCGGCAGCAGCAGCCGCAAGGGTCGCAGCCCGCATGGGCACGTGCGCGGGGTTGCGCCTGCTGCAGGCCACACTAGCCGACAAGCACCCGAGCGCTGCATCAAGCTTATTTATCACTGATTGATGCACGTGACATACCCACCGCGCAAAACAGGCTCGTGGCCGGCTGCAGCTTTAGCACAACCAACCGAGCGGCGTCTATCGTACGTGATACGCAGTATAAACCAGAATTTTTACGACACAGAAGATATTATATGCAGCTGCTGAGGCCAACGAGTCGTGCGGCTTTGTTTTGGGGGCCCCACACAAGCCTCGCCAGCGGGTGATGAGGTGCACAGCGGGTGGTGAGGTGAGCCCACGGGGAGTAGCTGGGGACTCTTGCAACCCGCGGCGAGCGAACATCAGTGTCATGTGGGAGCAGCTAGGTTGTAGATGGACTGGGTTGATTGTTGCCTTCTGCGCTGTATCAGTCGGAACGCTTTGGTGCCAGGGCGCCGGATTGTGTGTCGCCCATCCGCGTTCAGAGGGGCAGGCAGAAACACCAAGGCGGTTGGCCTGTGAACGGGGGCTTGCATTACAATGCGTCATGTAATACTGAGATTCGATCTCGTCACTGGCCACGGGCGCTGGCGGCGGCTGACCGCACACGGCCCCTTTCCCACCCCACCACATTTTCGAGTTCGTTGGCAACGTGCAGTTGTGGCCTAACGATGCCGGTATCCTGCTGCGGATTACCCCCGTGCGTAATCTTATACACAAGTGCCTCGATATTTTGGATTACCATTTGGCAGCGGCGAGAAGCAGCACAGCATGGGGGCGCCCAATCGCGCCGGGTGCCGGATGCACGCGCTGCATTCCATGAGAGTGACGCATCCCGGTGTGTTACTGGTGGTGCAATCATACCTGACTTGTTGAGATACATGCGTTGATTTATGAAACGTCGTTTCCTTTGCTCGCCTGCCAGGCGTGGGTTGCGGCCGGAAAAAGCGGTTCGGGCAACAACATCATTGGCCCAGCCGATCCAGCAAGGCCCGGCTGACGAGGTGTTGCTATAAAAATGGCACGAGGAACCTCGATAGTCATTATGTGCGTGGTGCTGATTTGCGGCGTCGTTGGCACCCGCGCTGTAGCAGATACAACAGCAGCAGCAGACGTTCGCGCGGCGCGCGGCTTGCGGAGCTTCAGCCTCTTCTCAAGCAGCAACAGCAGTAAAAAAGCGTGCGTCAAGCCAAAACCAACATTGATTCTCATATCCGGTGGGTGGGGCTGCGGCGCCCCAAACAAGGGAAGCCTGCCGCCAGGAGGAGTGACCCTGCCCCGCACAGCACTGCCCTGGCATTCGGCCTTGTGCAGCAATCGCCCCGCAACTGACAACGCATGCGTCCCCACTCCCCCTATAGCATGCCTGCTGCATCGCTTGCTTCCATACCCGTTCACGCTGCCGCCACAGCCCCGCAGCAACCCCACGCAGCACGGCACCGCCGCCGCCCCCTCGCGCCCCCGAACCGCGCCCCGCCCTGCCCCGCCCCGCTCCGCAGGCCTGGGCGGCTCCCAGATGGTGGGGACCTTCGAGGGGAACGCGGAGTGCAAGGCTATGTTGAATACCACCGTCGTGTGGTATGCCGACCGCTGGTATTGGGATAAGCAGCTGCCCTGCTGGGGCTACCTCCTGAGCCTCAACTACAACGCCACCACCAAGAGGTGCGCGCGGGGCCTTTCGGAAGCAGCAGAGGAGCCAGGGCGGCCGCTTGCAAACGCTGGCGGAAGCCGCAGAATCGCGATTTGCAAAAGCACACTGCAAGCAGGCTGCGTTTACGTGCCACAAAGTCGTGCCACAAAGCCCACGAGTGCTGGAAAATACGAGCTTGCATGCAAGAATACGTGCGCGAATGCACACACATGCACACACGCGCGCGCGCACACACACACACACACACACACAGCTGGTCCAACAGCACGGGCACCAAGCTGTGGCCCGACGACGGGAAGTTTCTGGGCGACGTCCCAGACGGCTCGAAGCAGCGGCTCTTTTACTGGTTCCTGAACAAGCACCTGGCCAGCACCCACGGCTATACTATCGGTAAGGACCTGTTCCTGATCCCCTACGACTGGAGGACCGGCATCCAGGGCCTCGAGCAGGTGCGAGGGGGCGCGGGCGGGAGGGGTCGGGGGCTGATGGGCGGAGCGTGGCGCGGCACCCTCGCGGCGGGCTTGGTGATTGGAGGTTGCGGCGGCGGCAGCTGTCAGACGGGCACTGGGACGCGGACGGCCGGAGATCTGCACAGGGTGGAGTCATAGCCATGTGAAATCTCTTATGATATGCCGCAGCGCGGCGGCATCGAGGGCATCACCCGGCGCATCTCGGAGGCGGTCAAGCGCAACTGCGGCCAGAAGGCGATCGTGATCGCCCACTCGTACGGCGCCAACGTCATGGCCACCATTTTCCAGAAGCCCGAGCTTCAAAAGTGGAGGTGGGGAGGCGGGAAGAGGGCACGGACGCGTGGGCGGGCGGGCTGAAACGCGCCCGTGAGGGCCCTGATGGCGTGCGCACGCGAGAACGGACCCACTTGAAGCCCCAGGAGCCCTTGACAAACGGACGAGATAAACATCAGGGTTTACGGTTAAGGGATTTAGGGTTTAGGGTTTAGGGATGATTGGCACACAAAAAATCGCCAAGCAAGTCAGTCTCCGCAAAACTCCCAAAAAATCGCAGGCAGGACACAGTAAAGGCGACAATCTACGTCGGCGCCCCCTTCGGCGGCTGCGCGGCGACCACCTGGCTCAACCAGCTGTCGGGCGACTTTTTCAAGTTGCTGCCCGTCCTTACAAACCTCATGCCTGCCAGCCTGACCGGCAAGTTCCACCCGACGGTGGTGGGCACCTCTGTCTACAGGATGGCGTTTGGGCTGCCGACCTGGGGGTGGATGCTGCCAAGGCCGAGTGTGCTTGGGAAAGACCACGTAAGCTTTGGGGCCAGGGGCCGCACAGTGCGAAGGCGGGGGCGGGGCGGGGGGGGGGGATGAGGAGCTACGCGGAGGCAGAGCCTTCTTGGGAAGCTGGTGTGGCCCGAATTATCGGGGCATGAGCGATTGCGTGCACAGAATCTGCCACCTTCGCCGGTGCCGCTGTGCGCAACACGGCCAGTGGGTCTGCGCGCGGGCTTTGCTTTGCCTTCTGCTGCTCTGGTGCGAATGACAGCGGGCGCAGTCCCACATGACAGCCTCATCACAGCGGCGTTCTCTGTGTGAATTGCAATGTACCCCTCATCCCACGTTGCAGGTGGTAGTGGTCACCCCCACCAAAAATTACACCGTGGAGCAGCAGAAGCAGCTGCTGCTGGACATGGGGGACGAGGGAGGGGTGAGCGGGGCCGGCGGCGACAAGGGAATGTGTTTTGCGCGGGCAGGGCGCCTCTTGCACGGTCGTATCATGGTGGGGGGGCTGCCTGTGATGCCGCATGAACCCATGATTGGCAGAGCCTGCACATGCAGCCCACAGGTGCCGGCAGACTCGAGCAGCTTGTACATGAGCAGTCAATGTCGGTTTGACCCTGCCCGACTCAGCGGCACCCGCACCACTATGACGACCCTCAACGTGCAGGCATCCCTGCTGGATGACTCATGGGCGCGGTCGGAGGCACTCTTGAAGCGCGGCCCAGTGGCCGGGCTTGAGACTTTCTGCCTTTACGGTGGGTGCAAAGGGAACCCGCGCAGTGGAGCGAAGAGTTGCGGTGCTTGAGTATTAGGGACGCATGCGGGCGTCGTCCAAGGTGATGATGACAGCTGGCCCCTCTCTTCAGACGATGCATGAAGGCGCGTGGCCCTGCGCACGACGGCCACCTGGGCTGCTCCCGCGGCATGCACCATGCGACACCGCGGCCCCTCTGCGCGGTGCGTGTCGCTTCTGAAACCGCAGGCACCGGCGTCCCAACATCCACGACGCTGGTGTTCAACGAGAGTATCCCAAAGCGCGCCGTCATCAACCGGCCGTTCAGCGTGAAGAATGTCGACGGGGACGGGGTGGTCGACCTGACAAGCTTGAGGCTCTGCAGCAAGTGGGTTGCAGAGAGAGGGCCAGGGACTGATGGATTGTGACGTGCGTGTTTGCGGGGGGGGGGGGGTTGCATGCGTTGCGCTTGCGTTTGTGGTGAGTTGGGATGGGGCAGATTGCATGGAGAGATACAACATATGACAGTCTGAGGTCGTGCATGAGACACGCATGTGTCCAAGCACGTCACCATTGCTCGAGCCATGCATTGCTGATTCTTGGGACTGTGGTGGCGCCCCCCTTGCAACTGCCCCGCCTGGCGTGCCACCTGGCGCGCCCGTCCGTCACACAGCCCCAGCCGCCGCCACACTCACGCGCTCGTGCGAAACGACGATCCCTCCCCTTTCCTCCTGCGCAGGCTGGCTCCTAAGGCCAATATTGCTGAGGTGTCCTCGACCTATGTCGACCATGCCACCATCCTGGCCCACCCCATGGGTTTGGAGCGCCTGAGTGAAATACTAGTCAAACTTGGGGCGGGCTACTCGTCGACTTGGAACAAGCTGCTGACTCACGCGGCAGCATGGGCGACCCCCTGATATTAAGATTGAAGACCGCGGCGCGCACATGCCGCTGCCTCCCTATGAATGGGGTTGGTGCTTGCGCATGCCCAAGGTTGATGCATCACAGTCGAGCTCACGCTTTCTACCAACCACCTGTTATAACCGCACTTGTATTGGTCATCGTATTTATGAACGCCTCCTTTCAAGTGTTCGTTCGAGGTTTTTTGGGTGTAATGTGAAGAAGTGAAGGGTGGAATCAATCCAAGCAAAGCGCGGTGTGACATGTGTGTCTGCAAGCTCTCGCTGAAACTGCCCTGCACTGAACAGCACCTAGTGTCGACAGTCCTTGTACTGCACACATGCATGTCGCATTGCTGACGTCCACGAGCCTGATCTGGGAAATTGCCCGCTGGAGCCCTTGCGCATGCACAGAAAGGGAGGGCACGCCCCCACAGCTGCCGCGAGTGCCGAGCTCAAAGCCGTGAGCGCGCACGTGTCCACCCTCTTTCACCTCCGTTCAACTCGGCATTCGCAACTTGTCCCAACAAGCTAAAAAATGACCAAGGAGGAGGCCCAGGCTGCGGTGGAGGAGGTGTGCTTGGGCGGCCTTTGGCGGCCTTGATGTGTCGCGGTCGTGGCAAGCTTCGGCCTAACGTCCTCATGGCGCTCTGTCTTTGCAGGAGGTGGTTGATGATGAGGACCTCAGCAGCGACTCCGAGGGCGACATGCCCGAGCTGGACGATGGTGGGTGTGCTCGGGTGATCTGGACAGCGGGCGCTGGCTCTGGCGGCCAGTCGTAAAGAATTATTTTCTTGAATCACATCGGTACGCATGCTCATCTGTCTCGGCGCGGTTCCGCAATCAGCAGCCTTGCACCCTCGCCCCCTTTCCAATGGCTTGGCCTCCTCCGCCCGCGTTCATTAGATGAGGAGGGCGGCAAGGGCAAGCAGAGCCGCTCGGAGAAGAAGAGCAGAAAGGCTATGCAGAAGCTGGGCATGAAGCCCGTGCCCCACGTGGCGCGCGTGACCATCAAGAAGAGCAAGAACGTGAGCCGATGCGCGACGCAGCGCCCCCATCCTGGGTTTTCAGCATGTGTTTGCATCCATGAGCATTTGGCATGGCATGCATGTATCTCAGAATTCAGCAGACGCAATGTACAGCGAGCGTGGCGTATTTTTGGGTGGGTGAAGTGATGTTTGCCCAGCTGCCTGCGACGAAGCAGGGGGGCGGCCGCGCATTGCGGACAGCAGGTGCAAGGCAGCTAGCACAATCATGGGCGTTGACGCAGGCAACACGGCCAGCACATTTGAGCAGCAGCACTGAGCAGCGCGCCGCGGCAGGCCTGCTGCCTGCTTGCCTCAGCCTATGCGCCGCTGCCGATGCACCTTGCTTGCCACCCCGAGCCCCCGGGCTGCGTCCTCCTCGCTTGCCTCCCACCTGCACCCCCTGCCCATCCCTCATTCCCGCCAAACACAGATCCTCTTCGTGATTCAGGCGCCCGACGTGTTCAAGTCGCCGGCCAGCGACACCTACGTGATCTTTGGCGAGGCCAAGATCGAGGACCTCTCGGCCCAGGTGGGATGATCTGAGATCAGCCCTGGTGATGCAATGAGGAATGCGGGCCATCGCCAAAGAGCGAGCTGCGGCAAAGTAGGAGTTGGCGTGGCGGGCTGTCAGGCGGGTTTTGTGTGTTCGGAGTGTGCTGGTGCCGTCACAGCAGTGGAAGTTGCAATGGCAGGAGCAGCGGCAGCGACAGGGGTAGCAGCAGCAGTGGTGGCGGCAGCGGCAGTAGCAGCAGTAGCAGCAGCAGCAGCAGCGGCAGCAGCAAAGGAGACTGCAGCAACGCCAGCGGTGGTAGTGGCAGCGGAGGCCGCAGCAGCTCTGGCAGCGTCGGGGGTTGTTTTGGCGGGGGAGTTTGTAGCGGGTGAGGCTGCCCCATCTGGCTGCGGCGGCAGCCCGCAGCTCCGAGAGGCCAGGGGAAGCCAGCAGTCTCCGCACAGGCCATGGGCGCAGTGCCAGCGGCGCCGCTGTTGCGGCTGCCTTGCTAGGGCTGGTCACAGAATTGCCGCGCCGCAGGCGCGGCAGGCGGGGCAGGCACCCTGGGGCATGAAGCAGCTGCACTGCCTGGCCACCAGTTGACAGCCGACGCGCGGCAGCAGCTGCTACCCGGCAGGTTTCTATGCTGCTAGGCACAGGACCGCGTCCAGCTCCTCTGTAGAAATTTGTTTAGTGCTCCTCTCGCGTCCACGATCCTCGCTGTACCTGACGTTGCCGTTGTACCCGTTCGCTCGCATCCAATCCCCCACCCCAGGCCCAGAGCCAGATGGCGCAGCAGTTCCAGTTGGCGCCCGACGCGGAGGTGGCCGAGAGCCGCGGCGCGGAGGCAGCAGCGGGTGAGCGCCTGCCACGCGCAGCTCCCTCTCATCAGGCGGTGCTGGAAAGCTGCGACGGGCGGGGCGGGTTGCAGCCATGGGCTTGTCAGGCCGCGTCTTCGCAGCAAGCCGCCCGCAGATGGGCTGGGGCCCTGCAAGGAGACCCAGCCGCAAACGCGGGCGCGACTCAATGACCTGAAAGCGCTCGTGGACAAGCCCGCTAACATGCGCCCTGTCATGGACACGCCCTGTTGTCAATTTTGCAGTGGAGGAGGACGACGGCGAGGAGGTGGACGAGAGTGGGGTGGAGCCCAAGGACATCGAGCTCGTCATGACCCAGGTGAGTCATGGCGGGATGACGCTAGATCAGGGCACTCACTCAGCTGTCCGCCCCTCCTTCAGGATTGGGGATGAGCACAAATGATATGACTTATAAACTGATTGCTGCGCAAAACGTTTGTTTGAGTCACAGGGGGCCGGCCACTAGATGACCGCTCTGTGCGGCCGCTGCCTCGCACCTGCTTGCGCCACGCTGCGCCCCGCCCGGGCGCCCAACCGCCGCGCCGGGCTGAATAGCACGCAGGCGCACAGCGCACCGCGCCGACACCCCCCCCCCACACACACACACATACACACCACCCCTCTCACCAAAACCCCGCCAGGCCAACGTTCCCCGGGGCCGCGCGGTCAAGGCCCTCAAGGCCAGCGGAGGAGACATCGTGTCGGCAATCATGGAACTCACCATGTAGCCGGTTTTTGTCTGCTGAGGGCTCCTCGCCGTTATGTAAAGGCTCGTATCGCCGCCCCTGCAGTGCAGGAGGCGCGTCCCTTGTAAATGTCCTGGCCCCCCGAGGGGCGTCCTTTTTTAGCAGCGCCCTGCGTGCTCAAAGAAGGTTGAGAGCGCGGCGCAGGGCGGGTAGGGGCCGTTCGCTGCTGTGGAATGTTACAGTTGGTCAGAGAAATGCGCGCCTGTTGAGGACCAGGCGGCGCGAAGTCGTCGCGCAGGCAGCTGTGGCAACTTTGTCAAGTGCCAGCAGAAGTGCGGAAGTGCAGCAGCAGCGGCAGCGGGACAGCTGCAGTTGGCTGGGCTGCCCTTGCTGCCTGTGCAAGGCAGGCAGCAGCTGTGAGCTGCCCCGTTTCCCCTGTAGCGGCCAGAGAACTCCCCGGCAGCAGCAGCAGCTGCTACTGCCTGTGTGGTGTGATGTGTTGCAGGGTGCATAGGTGGCATATTCAAGAGACTGGCTGCTGCCAGGTGGTTGCAGGCAGTGCTGGAAGCAAGATTTGGTTACAATTCCAGCCAAGTTATCCAAAAGCCCCCAGGCCCGAAAGTTGCATGCTGATGATCGTCAAGTCTGGCGCCGGAACAGAGCGCCTTTGCTCAGGTTAGAGGGCACGGCCCAAGCATCACCGCTGCTGCAGACCCACACGCACCAGGAAGCATGTCGCGCCGCGTCACAACGGAACCCATGGGTGCAGAAAAGCAGTGCAGCCGTTTTTCATCCTCCTGAAATCGCTCACCCCCAACGTGCGTTTCCCATTCACCCTCCCCCCCATCACACACACAGCACGTGCCACAAAGCAACCTCACTAGACACCCAGCCCCAACAAAGAACCTATTAGATCCGCAGCCAGCAACGCGGCCCGTCCTCACGCGCCGCCAATCACACAGAAACGCCCGTTTTCCTCAAACGCAGCCGTCGCTCCGCTTTGCGCAAACGCAACGCGCGTCGTCAAAGCCGGCCGCCAAGCAGCAGCGCCCAAAATCGACGCGCGCCCCGCTGCGCCGGTCGGTCGCAAACCAGTGCCAGACGTCGCTGGCGGACGAGAACTTTCCGGAGGGGTCCAGCTGCCGCGTGGCGCAGCCGAAGTGGCACCAGTCGGTCCCATACTCGGCGGCGCCGTCGAAGCAGCGCGCGTGCTGCGGCCAGCCGGCCTTGCCCCTGCGGCCGGAAATGCGCGCGCGTGTAGTGCAAGTGAGCGGGGCCCATGAGCTTGGGCAGTGGTGGGATGCACCGGCAGGCGTACGAGGCATGGGGAGGCTTTTAGGGGCAGGCGAGGGGCCACAGGCTGCCCCTGCCCACCAGCCTGCCGCTGCGCGACACCTCAGCACCCGCCAGCTGCGCCAAGTGGGCCCCAACCACAGGCGGCGGCAGCGCTGGGGAAGTCGTTTGCTGCGCCGCATAACCTTGAGCTGAGCGGTTTGCGCAGAGCAACTCTGTATGTTTGGGGTTTGGTCACAGCCGCCACCCACCAGTGCATGCGGCCCCTGCAGGACGGGTGGGTGCGCAGGAAGTGCACCACCCCCTGGAATCCCGTGTTGGGCTTGCCTGGTCGGGGGCGGGGGGAGGGGAGGGGGGCCAGGGGGTGCGTGGGGGCCGGGGACAGGGGAGCAGTGGAGAGGGGGATCACTACCGTCGTCTGCGAGTTGCCTGCAGTGCTGCTCATGGTGCTGACACCCAACCATAGGAACTCGTCATTGTATGCGACAGAGCAGCACACACACACACGCGTGCACACACACACACACACACACACACACACACACACACACACATGCTCAGATCACACACTGACGCGCATGCACACAGACGGACACACAAAGCCAGGTGTTTCAACCAAATTACACCTCCCTGAACCCCATCTCACCCGTGGCATATGAAACATGGTCCTCCATATTTATGTACAGGGTGGCGCCAACGCTGCTTGGTGCCAGGTACGACCGCTCGCCTGCCACAAAAAGAAAGTGAGACAGCCCCGCAAACAAATGTCTCGAACGTGCGAGCAGGGGTCGGGGCCTGGGAGTGCGGGACGAGCTTGCACCAAAGCCGCCGCTGGAAGGGCGGAGCTTGACCGGAAGCGTTGCGCTCCGCGGGCTTGCCGCCCGGGATTAAAACAGACACCGATGACTTCCTGCAGAACCAGCTTGCCCCCTTGGCGCAGGGGCTCCCTTTCGCGGGAGGACGAGCAACCGCTTCGCGTGCACACCACAAGCACAACCCAAGCACAGCGCAAGCACGGCGCCACAACTCTTGCACGCGTGGCAGGGCAAGCTAGTGTCACCTGACACGAAGCGCAGCAGGGCCGGCACCCTAAAGCCGTTCCAAAGGGCCCTGGGGCCGTAGACCTCCGCCGACAGCGCCTGAAAGCAGTCAGCCGCCCTGCTCAGAGGGACTGGAGGGGGGGGGGGCAAAGCAGGAGCAGTGATTCGTTGGTAGTTGATTGAAAGGGATCGGAAGAGCGGGTGCCGCGGAGTCCCACCACCCGCCGGAAGGGACGCTCGACACTGGCCTGGGGGGGGGGGGGACAGCTGGCATGCTCGGCTGCGCAGCGCGGACGCGGAGGGACCGGTGACGTCACCATGATGTCATTAATGACACTCACTGGCGACCTCGTACTGGTCGTAGGAGTTGTAGGGGGAGTAGAGGATGTTCTCCATCTCGCTGAGGGACAGGAACGCCCTGAAAGGGGGTTGTGGGGGAAAGGATTAGGATTAGGATTAGGACTAGCACCAGGATTAGGATCAGACTTGGGATTAGGTTTGTTATAAGATCCCCTGGTCGCCCCCTCCTGGAGCCATCCAGGCTCATGGGATGTGGCTTGGGGAAAGGTGTTGGGAGGGAGTGGAGCTGGGTCGGCGGGGAGAGGGGTCCCGTGAGGCATGGGTGCGCTGGAGCGAGCTGCTGGAGGGCGGCAAGAAACAAGACAGGCTCAGCGGGGGAGGTGAAACGTCCAGGCAGTAAAAAGAGGGGGCAGGTGATGGCGCGTGCATGTGGGGAGGGCTGGTGGGGCAAACAAGGGCGCAGGCTGCAGCCAGGAGGGCGGCCTTTGTCTTGGCCTTGGCAGGGGGCGCAAATGCCGCGTTGCGCCGCAGGCGCAGCCTGCGCGCTCACACAGTGCAAGCGCGCAGGCACGCGGGCGCAGGCGCGACGCGTATGACAGCAGGGCCACCCAAGCTTGTCCACGTGGGCAGGCTGGACGAGCTGCAAAAAGCGCACCTCCTGGCAGGCAGGGTCTCTGATTGGACGTTGACTCCGAGCCAAGCAGCATACACGCCTGCGGATCAAGGAGGGTGTTGACGCGCAAACGCACGCAAAAGAGGGAGTTGACGCCGGCAGGCGAACGGTCTCTTTTGGGGTGCGTGGGGGGCGGGGGACCGCGGCAGCAGCGCGGGGCGACGACCATGGCTCAGCCGACACACTGGCGTTGACCATCGCTGTGAGGGAGCAGGGCCCAAGCTCGTCATCCCTGTGGCGTCAAAAGACGGAAGCGCCCCTGCGCACCTGCCCAGTACATCGCATTGTGCCCCATCAGCGGCGCCGACCCCACAGATGGCGACCACCGCTGGTGGTATGCGCCCGGCGGCAGGGTCTGCGCGTCGCCCGCCCCGACCAGGCCGGCCGCGGGGTTGGCGCCGTTTGCGACGTCGCCGGCCGAGTACTCCACAGGGCCGCTGAGGGCCTCGACGGGTGGCGGCGCGAGGGTGGCGTTGGAGAGGCGCTGGTAGGTGATGAGCCAGCAGCTCTTCAGGGGGAAGTGCCAGAAGACCTGTGTGTGTGTGTGTGTGTGTGTGTTCATGTGTGTGTGTGTATGGGAAGGGTTTTGAGTTGTGTATGTGTGTGTGCATGTGCGTCTGTGGGGTTGAGCGGACGTGGCGCGGCTAGCAGTAGCTCGCCGGCTAGTGAGGCCCCCTTACCACGAGCTGGCGGCAGTGGATGCACGTGGCACTTGACATCGCGTGCAGCCGGTCCCCGACTGGACCGATTCCCGCAGATGCCGTCCCTGAAAGAGGACCACTCACAGCCACAATCCTGGAATCGACTCTGCCGAGCCTGCAACCCCCATGTGCACACGCAGCCACACACACCCACACACGCGCGCACACACACACACGCACACACACACATGCAAGCACACACACGCACACCTGGGCGTCGTTCCACGGCTGCAGCACCTTCCAGACGCTTGCGGCCGTGTCCGGCGCCGGCCGCTTCCCTGCGCCGCCCTTTGCCGCGTTGTAGTCATCTTGCAGGGTCCGCAGGTCAGCCAGGAACGTTTTGATCGATACGTCCTGTTTGGGGGTCAATTTGGGTTTTGATGTATGTCCCGTCACAGGATCCTGACCTTGCTCAGGGACCGTTCTTGGCATTGATTGCATCACATTGCTTGGGAATGCTTGCGTGGGGAAGTGAATGTTGGGAGAGGGGCCGGAGGGGGGTGGCGCGCGAGGCAGTCGGCGGGCTGCAAGCCCACAAGAAGGCACCAGGCCCACCTGGTCAGCGCCTTATTGCCAGGGCACCCGCAGCGCGGGCGGCAGCAGCGGCAAATTTCAGCGGCCCAAAGGTCCCCTCCGCTTGCCGCAGCAAATGTATCGGGACTGTGGCTCACAGCGCGCCCTACGGCTCACAGCACGTCCTGCAGCTGCCTGGAATGCGCGTGACGCGGGCAACACCAGCCCTGGGAACTACCCCCGCCTGCCTACACACATTATATTCATCCTCATGTGAATGATGTTCCAAACGCTCTTGCCTGCTTCGTGCGCTTGACGCTCTGGTTCTCCACAATCTTGAGGGTCAGCTCCAGGATGATACCCAGGCGGCCCACGCCCAGTGTCAGGGCGCGCCACAGGTGAGGGTCTGGCGAGATCAAACGGGGGCAGGAGGTAAGGATTGAGTGACACAGTGAGTTGGTGTTTTCTGGCAGTGTGGTGATGTTTCCGGTACCAGTCCCCATGTTATGTGACATTTGAGCGTGTGAGGCGTCAAGGGACGCAGCGGCGGGGTGCGTGCTGCCAGCCTTTCAAAGCACTCTGAGAGCTGCATGGTGTCACGAATCCGATAAATAGCAACTCTGATCAACCCCCACAACCCTGCAAGCGCCCAAGCATGCGCAAACGCATGATGGGGCGCCCACCTGAGGTAGGGGTGATGTCATGGATGTCACCATTGGCATCCATATACTTGAGGGCCGTCAGCTGCGCGCGTGCGTTCATCCATTTGTTTTTAAAATGGGCCTTAGTTTTCCGTGCACATGTGCAGCCAGCTTTCGTGGTGCTTGCTTTGTGCTGTCTCTGGGCTAATGAGTGTTTTGATGTGTGTGGAGTCACGATCAGCCATTGACCGTCCCCAATCCTGCAATTTGCGCCCATCACGTCCTCCCACCTACCTGCCCGCCCTCACCCATTCCGCGCCCCCACCTGATTGGACAGGCTGCCATGCTGCAGCGACGAGCCGTGGGAGCCGGTCGCGACGGCGCCGCCTGCGGGGGCAGCGGGTAGGCACAAGGGCGCTCGTGCCAATATGGAAGGGGGGCAGGAAAGGGACCCCGCTGGCCGCCACGCCTGCCGCAAATCGGCGTTGGTACGTCATGTTTGGCGTTCAGATGAGGTCGAGGAACCCACCTCAACCCACCGTTCCCTCTCAGCGGGCAGGGCGCCGACAAGGGGGGGGCAGCGATGGCAAGTCTTGTGCAATGCACCTGGCCCTTTGACCGGCCCAAGTGCCTTCGCGGCTGCGCCACGCACGCGCTGCCCCTGGGAAGCGTTCTGCGACACCACCTGCAGGCACACACGTGCGCACCTGCTCCCCGCACACCAGATGCGCGCCTGTTCCCCTCGCCCCACAAGCGCCCTTGCTTAACGACGCGCCCAGCCATCAAACGTCGTCACACGTGCATGCAAATCACGGCTACGCCAGAATTCTCGTCACTAATAAACAATCCACCAGTCTCGTTGGTCCCCCACCGATGGTCTGGTCGATGAACCACGTAAACGAACCCAGAGTGTAGCCCTCAGGGGCCCTCGCAGTCCTGTGATGCAGCACCAAGGTGGGTGCATGCAGAAGCGGTGACACCAACGCTATGGGCACACCGAGTTGAGAGGGAGGGGTGATACCACAGCAATGAGTACACCCCTTTGAACGCCGGCCCCGGCGAAGCATCCTGCCGGCGGCGCTGCCTCAGCGTGCAGCAAAGCCCTTTCCTACGTCCGGGACGGCTGCTTGAGCGGCCCCAGCTGCGAGCGTGAGCGCTGGCGCCGCGGGTGCTGAAATGGCACATACCTCATCTCAAGACTGCCCCCTGCTTGCTTCGCGGACGCCAAACAACACAATTCTGCATAGAAACCTCCCTGGAGCAGTTTGAAGCAGTCTTTCCAAGAGCCGCAACCGACCTGTAACCCGCCAGGTACTCGAGGACAGCGCGCTGAGTCAGCCCCGCGGGCGTCGTCACCGTCATGGCTCCCTCGTCCACCTTCATGACGGGCGACAGATCGCGCGCACGCGCCCTGCGGAAGCCGGACGGGCAGACAGGAGTTGCGGCAATGTCGGACGCCGTCGGCGTTGAGGAGGGGAAAAGCTGGGGCAGAAAGAAGCTAGGGGAGAGGACTGAACTTGAAGAAACCTGGGGTTCCACGGCGTTGCTTGTGCCGTTTGTTGCAAAAATCTACAAGTCGGTCAGGCCGTTGGGTAAAGCCCCCGGCCATTCAGCCGGGACCTCACGCTTCGAGGACGTCCGTGAACTCAGTGGTGAGGACGTTGATGGCGGACGCGTTGGATCCGGCGCAGAACTGCTCCTGCCACCAGCTGCGCGGGGTCGGCAGGCGCGGCCGGCGGGGCAGGCAGGGAGGTCAGGGAGGGGGCCGTTAAGAATGCTGGTGTGGTCTCAATGAGCTTGAGGGGTTCTGATTGCAGGGGTTGTAGATTTGGGTGGCTTTTTGCAGTGCCGGACGGCGCGGGCGGCAGCTGGCTTGATAGCTAAAACCAGCCTCTCGCTGCATCCAAACGAAAGGCAGTTACAAGCATGCGCTCAAGCCAATGCCCGCGTGTCCAGCTCCTGCCACCCCTGTACTTCTCTTTCCCCCAGGCTGGCCTTGGCCCTAAACACCCAACCCCACTGAGCGGTTGGGGCAACACGACGCAGGAACAGCAGCTCGGTTGCCTCTGGCCACCCTCGGCAAGCTCACGCAAGGGGCGTGCTGTGCCCCTTGATGCAAAAGCCCATGTTGACACCTGACCCGTGCAGGCACCATGACCCGTGCGGGCACCCAGCCGGCGGCGCCCGCTTTGAGGCAACGGAAACTGTTGGGGTGCGCCGCGGCCCTGGCCGCACCTGTGGCCGACGCCGGACGCTTTGACCCTTGAGTACGCCTTGACGAGTTGAGAGAGCTCCGCATAGGACTTGGGGCGGCCGAGGATGACGGACGAGCTGCATGCAAAGTGGCCCTGGGTCGGCGGACGATAGCAATGCGCAGCGCCGCGCATGCCCGGGAGCAGGAGCGGGGCAAGGGGGGGCGAGAGTAATGGCGAGTGCTTTTGGGTGGCGAGCAGGGACAAAAGGGGCGCTTTGGGCCCGCTACAGATGGAAGATACACGAGGTGCGATGCAGCGACGGGCGCACCCCTGGCTTCGCGGCTGCGTTCCCAAAAAGATCAGTCGAGGGGCCAGGATTGTTGGTGGGGTTGGGGCTGTGCAATATTGTGAGTCAAGGCACACCTGGAAGTTGGAGAGCTGCCATGGCAGGCCGCACCAGTCATGCTGCGCGCCCTCCTGCATGCGGCACGGCGCGGCTGTCGCGCGGCTCGCCAGCGCAAACAGCAGCACCCAGGTGGCGGCGACTCGTGCCAGCGCCCGCTGTGTGCCCCGAGCCGACGCCGCCGCTGTGGTGGCGGGCGGATCGGGCTGTGGCCGGCGGGCGGGTGCTGGTGCCATGACAAGGTTCACAGCAGGTGCGAGGCGCTCGGCGAGCGAGGGCTGCGCTACGGTGGTCGATTGGCTGCGTATTTGAAAGTGCGGCGGCGCAGCTTGAGCGGGTCACTAAGCTCATCTACACGCTGCGACAACGCGATATATTTAGCCATCAAAGCTGCACATTGATCCGAGTTCAGCGCGCCATACGTGTCAGAGACGGCCCAATCCAAGGCCACCAAGGTTCGCTGAGGAGACAAGTTTGCGCTGATCACATGAAACGCAGCATACGGCCAGATAATTCCAGGTGATCTGTTTCATACGTGTCTCAGGCTTGTCGAAGCGTGTGGGGCGTCATGCTGCGTTTGGGGCAGGTCTTTGTGCGGCGCCTTGGCGTCACCTGGTTACTGCCAAGCCTGCAGTCGCTCAGTTGCAGGGCGCGCAGAACTTGCCCTGGCACGCGCGCGCCATGGATATCCAGCCGGTAGAGCCTGCCTTGCCTGCATGCTGCAGCTACTGTCGCTGTCATCGCAGAGAACGCAGCCACCCAGTTTGTTTGACCTCGTGAGCTGTTGCTTTGTTTACTCCTGCCGAGAACAGCAGGGACAATAGCTCAGACCCCGGCAGTGAGGAATGCACAAAACAAATGACTTCAATTAGCCAAGCCGTAGAAGATATGCGCAGCCAAGAAGGCACACCGTCAACGGTGGCACCCTGCACGGGCGCAGGTTGATGCATTTGCGTCGCCCCGCAAACGGCGGTGGCGATGAAGCGTATGGTGCGCTCACAGAAAGCACACGTAGATGGTTGCGAGCACATAAGATCATGCATGCATATGGTTTCCGGCGGGCTGTGCGGCATAGCGCAACGGCCTCAAGCATCGCATTGCAATAGGTGGGTATACTGGTGTCTGGGCATGCCAGTGTCTCGGCGGCGGCTGAAGCGCCAGGGGCCGCCGTCCGGCACTCAAGGGCTGAAGCGTGCGTTTTGCATTCGCGGACAAAAAGGATCCCCGCGAGGTTTGGCATGTCGAGCAGGCGTATGTGCATTTGCAGGGCCTCATACAGTGTGCATGTGTCAATACGGGAGGTCCTGAGCCATGCGGCGTTGGGGTCCACATGACCAGTGTAAATGTCCCAAGAAAGACCAGCGAGCTTGATACAATCGCATCGCCAACATGTGCACTTTTTGTAAAGGGTGCCACTCTCGGCACGTGGCGCGTCAGCGCGGGCCGCATGCGTCAGCAGCGCGCCTCGCAGGCGCGGCACCTCAGACTGCGAACGCCTGGAGGGACTCCTCCTGGAAAGCGTCAAAGGCCTGTGGCGGTGGGACCAGGAGCGCCTTTGATGCCAGCAGCTCGTATTGGATGCCTTGCGCCTCCGCCTGAAGCGTCTCCGCCGTGCTCATGGCATTGGCGATGTTCAGCACGCCAGGTCTCGCGGGCGCCGCAGCCATCGCAGACAGGCCGAACGCGCGCAGCGGCGCGCCCGACGCGCCGGGCGCTAGCTCGGCGTCGGACAGCGCGGCGGCGCCCGCGCAGGCGCCGGGCGCGGCGGTGATGCCGTTAGAGAACGTCACAGGCACGATGACGACCGTCGAAAACGTCCCTCCGTTGACCTTCCCAGCCGCGGGCAGGCCGTCAAACATTGGGTTCGCTGGGTCCGTGAGGGAGTCTGTCCGGATGACGAGCCGGTGCACGCCGTCGCACAGGCCGTCGCAGGGGTTGAACGGGCACCTCTTAGGCACGGCGCTCGCATTGAAGGCGAGGTTGCATGTGATCGGGAACCCGTCGCCCTTCTCGTTCGCCTTGCAGCCAGCCGGCACCGGCAAGAGCCGCGCGCCAGTGGCGTTTGACGAGACACTCAGCAGGGGGTACCCCAGGTCTGCCCCCGGGTTCAGCATGAGCGACGGGTCAATCGACACCAGGACGCCGGTGACGTTGGAGCCGATGCCGCTGCTCACGGCGAACCTCATGGTGAAGTTGGTCGACCCGGTGACGGGGGTCAGCGGGAGCGCTGACGTCAGCGCCGCCGACTCGTCTTTCCAGGGCTGCGGTTGTTGGGCCGGCGGGTGCGTGGAAGCGTGAGAGGCAGGCAACCAAGTTGGTGCGGCGATTGCAGGTTGCAGCATATGTCGTTGCACCCGATGGCATTTGATAGCGGTTGGAGTCGGTTTGGAGGCAGGCGGCAGCCTAGCAAGGGGCACGCGCACGCGCTAGCGCCAACCCCTGCATCTTTCAGGCGCTCACAAAGAAGGTCTTCCCGGTGGCGGAGGGCGGCAGCGCCTTGGTGGATATGTCGGTGGCCGCGTTGTTCGCGACGACCAGCCACGACTCCATGCGGGCGGTGATGCTGCGGGTGGTGACGCCGTCGTCGATCTTAGTGGACGCCCAGAGCTCGACGCGTGTGAGCCCATCTGTGTTTTTGCGAGCATCAGATGGGGGGCGAGAATGAGGTCAAGCAAGCTATGGCGACATTGTGGGAGAGCGCAGTCTCACAGACTCAGATGTGGGCACACGTCAACCGCCAACAGGGATTATGTGTGGTGTCCCCGGTGGATTACGCAGGTTTGCAACAGGCAACATACCTTGCAGCCATTGCACGCCACCTGTATCACCACCCAAGAGACCCACCAGGCAAGTAGTAGGACTGGTCGGCGGGTCGTGTGTCGATCAGGGCCCGGTAAACCACCTTGCACACAGGTGCGAAGCTCTGGCAGCTGCTCCAGTTGCCGCTCTTAACAGTGTCATCCTGCGGCAGGAAACCCAAGGAATATGGGGCCATGAAAGGAGGAATGACAGTGCTTGCTTTGCTTGAACAGCGTCAAAAGTTGGGACGAGCAGGAGGTTGCGAGGGCCAAGCCGCACAGGTGCAGAGGGGACACAACTTGTGACACTGTTGCACAGCACCTTACCCCACGGGCTGCTGGGCTCGTTTTCTCTGTGTTTTCAATGACTGTGCAGCCGCCCTTACAAAAAACACACAACCAAAACGTGTGGTTCAGGGTTCCAGCACACCTGCTTGAGCTCCAGAGTTACGTTTCCTCCCTGCCAGATAAACGACACCCTGACAGTCACGGCCACGTTTGCAGCACTGCAGAGGGAAGGGGTAGGTGGCAGGCGTGTCGGCAGGGTGGAAGGGAAGCTTTTGTCACATGTGTAGACGTTACGGCGATGGCTTGCACCAACATCTCTCAAAACAACCAACATCTCTCAAAACAACACGCAAGACAGCAGGAGCAGGTCCCCTTCCAAAGCCATGGACGCCGTGGTGGACTCGGTTGCCAGTCTGTGTGTGGCGTGGCCCCCAAACCTGTGCACGCCTGGTTCATCCTCTGCCGACACCCACCTGGGGAAGTAATACTTTCCAAGCATCACGTCGACCGGGATCACGCCCGCCACCATCTGCTTGTGCGGCAGGCACGCGCCGACCTGCAGCTGGCTTGCGCCCGAGTTTGCGTCCAGCCCCGGCCGCGTGAACCAGTTTTGGGCCTCCAGGTATGTGCGGCCGCCGCGCCAGATGGAGCAGTCGTAAGGCGCCTTCAGCACAGCGTTCTGGTCGGGCAGGGGGTCGGTGAGCTTGTACAGTGTCGCGCCGGCCGGCGGGTCGATGGGCGGCAGGGGGTTGCCGGGCGGGTGCTCGTCCGGGGGCGGAAGGTCCGGCTGGGCGCAGACGTCAGGGCCTTCATTGCAGACCGAGAACACAACCTGGGTGGAGGCGAGTTTGCAAAGCACATGGAATGCAGTGTAAGATCGTGGGGTTTTGCTGGGGATTGAGCACAAAAAGGCGGCTCGCTGCTGATGAGGATGAACGGGATCATATGAATGTATGGCGTTCGGGGCGCACAGCGCGCCCCAAAACAACAACTGGGCGCGTTCACCACTGCTGTTGCAAACCGGATGCATCGAGCTTCAGTGTGCGCGCACCAGCGTCACCGACGAAAACGTTCCCCCATTGAGCTTCGAATTTGCAAACAGACTGCTGCTCGGGTCCACAAAGCTGTCGGTCCGGATGAACAGCTTGTGGAGGCCCTTTTGGAGAGGAGAGGTGTCCAGGGTGACGTCATCAAACTTGCAGGTGGGGGTCATGCCCTTGCTGATGGGGCAGTTCTTGCGGGCGTTCTCCACGGCGGTGTCAATGAGGATGATTTTGCCTGTGAAGTCCTTGACGTTGGTGCTGCGGGGATTGAAAGAATTGTCCAATATTGACGGTGTGCTTGATTGAGTATGTATTTGTTTGTGTGAGCATGTGTACACATGCTTGTGCGTGTGTGTGTGTGTGTGTGTGTGTGTGTGTGTGTGTGTGTGTGAGCATGTGTGCAGGCGTGCGCATGTGTGCACCTGTGCGTGTATGCGCTTATGCAGATTGTACGTGCACATGCGGCCTTATGTCTTACATGCGCATAGACGCACAGCCGGCCGTGTTGCAGCCGGCTGTGTCCCATGCTCCGCACATATTGAATGCAGCATCAGGAGCACTGAAGTGGATACGACCGCCGCATTGCTGCACGCAGCCACTCACGTGTGGAACGCTGGGTCGATGGAAACAAACACCCGAGTGACGTTGGACGTCTTGGTGGCACCGCCCGCCACAAAATTGGAGATGTTGAACTTCCAGACCTGGGGGACGTTTGTGAGGGGCATCTCGGACCTGCGGCGTTGAGTTCGGGGGCGGCGGTTTGCAGACATGTCACAAGGTACGTGAGGGCGATTATATCATCCTGAATTGTAATAAGCTGGTCCAATCTGCAGGGTTTGCACCGGTGAGTTGAGTGTCGTGTGTGTGTCTGGTGGGGGGGGGGGGACGGAACGCACAATTGAGCTGCAGCGCCGGTCCTGGCTGCTGACACAAGGGCAGCGATGGGAGGTGGCCACCATCAAGCACAGCAGTAGGGCGTCAGCACGCATGGCTGGTCAAAGATGGCGCGCCTGAGAGGCGCATGCGTGTAGCCCCAGGGGAAGGCCGTGTTGGCCAGCTCCTCGACCCCCAGAATGGTGGATGCAGGAATGGGCCACACCGTCGTCGGCTTGCTGCAAGCGGTGAAACGCGCATGCATGACGGAAGCAGAGTGCATAGTTATGGGGGTGAATCATGATGACACATGGGGTTTAGATAATGTGGCTGGGGCCAGGCAGTTCGATGCTTCCAGGGCAGCATGCGTGTGTGGGCTTGGAGCTCTGGCAGGCCGGTAATCACAGGCTTTGGGTGGGCAGCTAGTGTGATCTTTTGGGTGGGCAGCTTGGGTGGTCTTTTGGGGGGGGGGGGCCAGCGGGAGCTCTGCTGGAAACTCTCAGAGGCACGGGCCTTGGTCCTCCCTGACCAAACACGCCGCTGGGCTCACTTGAGGTTGTTGACCACAAACGCCGTGGTGACCCGCGCCTCGAATCCACGGTTTGCCTTGCCATCATTTATCGAGGTGGACGCCTTCAAGGTGACGGCGGCGAGCCCGTCCGGCACGCTGGCGCTGGTGGGGCTGCCGGTGTACGTCTTGATGGTGACGGGTAGCACAGCCTTGCACAGGTATGCGGGGTTGCACGTCCAGGGGGTCGCCTTTTTGAGGGTCGGCGACGTCACGCGGTACTTGACCGTCTTCTTGGGGTTCACCCGGACCACAAACTCGATCTCTGCGTGGTGCGTCGCGTTGGTGGTTGGATGGACGGGGCGGTGTGGCAGGCCGTGAGCACGGGCGCGGTAACATTGCAGGGTTCCGAGCGCAGCTATGGACGAAGGCGCCTGCGTGCGCAACTTGAGCTGGAAGGTAGCGAGCAGCTTGCGGCTTATTGGGAATTGGCCTGGGGAAGCGCCACGTGCGGCCTTCTCATGCACGCATGTTGCCTCGTACTAAGCAGAGACACGGGTTGTTTGTGTTCGATGATGCCTCTGCTGATTGCGGGGCAGCCCGCATGCATGAAAAGGCCGCACCCAATCCTTTCGGCTGTGCTGCTGGCCGCTGGCTGCTGGCTGACGCCGTCTGGAAGCCCTGGAGCCACTCCGCGCCTCGTACATCAACCGTCTGACTCATCGCTGTTGCTGCCTGGCGCGGCGGCACCAAGCGCCCAACAACCCCTGAAATCAGCATCAACTCATCCAAGTACGGCTCAATCTGCTAATGAGGCACTCACGGCCCCATCAAGGCAGGATTCGCCACCCTCCCGCCCACACACCAATGCCGACGCCGCCTGCCAGGGACTTGCTGTCTGGGAACTGATGCTTCTGGATTAGCAAGTGGAGGGTGAGATCGCCCCAGATCTGCTGGCGGTGCGGGACGCAGGCGCCGATGTGCAGATGGGAGCTCTCTGTCTGCACGTCTTTGCCAGGCCTGAGGGGTTCAACAATGCAGGGGGGAGTGGGTGGGTACACGAGCTGCCGCGCTCTGTCCTCCACGGTCACAGGCAGGGGCGGCGGGATATGGGGACGCTCATGACTGCATCTGCGGCGCTGCCGGCTGCTCCATCACATGGGCGCATCATGCATACGCGTTTGCGCCGCAGCACGCAGCACCGACGCTTCGTGCTGGCGCCCTGGAGGGCCCGGAGCAGCCTGCACTGGCACTCGCCCTCACCTTGTGAACCATGCCTGCGCCTCCATGTACACGCGCTTCTCAGGCAACCAGCCGGAGCAGTCCGATGGGGTGTTCAGGGTTTTGTTCAAGTCAGGGATCGACGCCACCAGCAGGCGCCGCGACGCTGCGCGCGACGCACCGCTGCCGGCCAGGGCGAGGCTGTCCACCACGACGGGGCCGCCGCGCGGCGCATGGCCCGTGAGAGCGGCTGAGCAACATTCAATACCTAAAATGATAGCAAGGGTAAGCAGTGGCACCGTCCTGCCCCGCCTGGGCCCGACCATTGGGTTGTCGGGTGTCCTCGCCGGGCCAACGGGGGCAGTGTTGGGTTGGTTGGCGCCTGCGACGGCGAAGAAATACTATGATAGGCATCAAATTCCAGATTTTATGCTCGGACAGGGCGCGCAGAACAGCAGCGGGCGCGGTCACTCAGCCACCTGCCCTCACCGACCACTGCCGGCGTGAACCCGCGCGGGAACAGCCCTGAGTGATTGCGATTCTGGAGAAACGTGAGCAGCAAGCTCACGTGGCACAAAAACAACTGCATGTGGTGATGCTGCAATCGGCATTGCCCAGGACGCTGCACGGCAGGCTCGCTCGTCTAGACAGCCACATGCCCGGCCACAGCCAACCGTGTTGAGAAAGCATCGAGTGGCAGCATATTGCCATGGTCGCACCGAGGGTTGGCCGAACCTGGGGTCCTCCTCTTATCTGTATGTCATGCCCGTGATTATTATCGACCATGGGCAGACTCGTTGGCAATGCACACCGACGCTTGTCCTGCTGGTTCGTGCTTGCTTGTCAGTGCTTGCTTGTCAGCCCGGCAAGCACCAATGGGGAAGACAAGGCGCCCACTGCAGGGTTGCTATAGGATGTTGGCGGCAGGAGAGGCTGCGGGGGCCCGGTTGATACGGCTGCACTGCTATGGCCCCCCAACGCAGCCTTGGGCGTCCCAGTCGAAGCGTGTGCAGGCGTCGGGCCCACCGCAGAGCGTCTGGTGCAACGTATGTAGCTGCCAGTCGATGAATTGAGCCATTCAGATGTTGGGAAGTGGCAATGTCCCAGCCAAGCGTACTTGGCTATGCTGCTGCGCACGCTGCGGCGGTTGCTGACGCATACTGCAATGCGAAGCTGCACAGCCGCTGGTGCCAAACCCTTGGCCTGCAATGGACAAGTGCGCGAGCACGCCGGAGTTTCCTGCGAGAATTCTCTTTGCCCTTTTTGTCCTCTGCCCGCTGGGCGTCGAGCTCCCACGCGGCGGGTCAGCATTGGTTGCCACGCCATTTATACGGCAAAGACGGCCCTTGATGCGGTTGTAGCACGATTTTACATTTTATCGTACAACAGCCAAGCTAAAAGCTGTCTAGCAGGTGATCCACGTACCACCTCGAGGGAGCCAGGAAAGGAATCCACATCGTGACAGTCGGTGGTTGGTAGCAAGCAGGAGGGACGCGAAACGGCGATTCTTACGTGTCAGGACATCTGAAAATAGATTCTCACCATCGGTGGCGTCGCAGCAGTCATGAAGGGCAAACTCCCGCCATTTGCCACGGCGTTTGATGCAGGTGCGGGGGCGCGGCAACTCACGGTGTACGCAGGCTGCTGATATCTATGATATCTGTCGCGTTTGATATGTGCCGAGCCGCGCTGTCAGCGGCACCTTTAGCGACTCAGGACCCAGCGGCGCGCGATTACTGCACAAGATTGAGCTGCTGCACCTGCAATAGAAATGACCACAATCTCGCAGCGACCCGCCACTGCCGTCCGTCTCCAGACCTGCATGCCACATTGCACTCACACCCAAGCATCACGAAGCCCGCTGCCCGCAGCAGCAACCTGCCTTGACTCAGAACATGTGAACTTGCAACACGCGCAGTCAAGGCTCATGACTGGTTCAACCTTTTCGCCATTGGGGTGCTGAACGCGCTCAACCTCCATTACGTGGTGGCCCGGCAAGGGTAAGATCCTGGGCAGCTTTGGGATGGGGAAGGCCAGGCGTGGGGCGCCGGGCGCCGCGTGGAGTGAAAAGACTCAGCAGGGGGGACAGGGCAGCAGGGACGCACGCCGCTTCCAAGCTTGAAGCTTGAACAGACACAAAGTGTCAGCCGCAACGCCTCATAATGGCTGATGGCCGGAAACTGACAGGACTGAGCCCGCAGCAGGGGATGAGTAAGTGGTGACATAAATTTTTCGACGGCTTTGGGACGGCATGTGCAGTGGGGTGGTGGCTGTGCATGCCACCATTCCTTCGCTCCACCGACACGTCTCAACCCTCTGCAATTTCTGCCTGCTTAAATAACAAAAATGTAGATTTGGCCTGTTCTGGACGACCACAATGCTCTACTTTCTGTTTGACACCATCTTTGTCGGTGCGTTGTTCTGCGCGACACAGTCGTCCACGCTGCACTGCGAGCCCGCTGGTGCTGCTGCGCCTGGCGGCTGTTGCAGCCGGGATGCCATTATAGGCACGGCGGGCCCAGTCCTGAGCTGCCTCGCCTTGCATCTGAGTGGGGAGCTGCGCGCAACGTCCACGCCCCAACATGCAGCGCCGCACCTGCCCTCCAGCTGTCACAACCGTCATCGGCTCGCGCCGCCTGCCTCCCTGCGACCGAAGGGCTCTACCCGTCCAGCGTGAAGAGCCCCGTGGTCATCCTGGGCCACCACCTCTGCACCTCCCTTTACATGCTCATCCCCCATTTCTACCCTGCCTACCACTGGTGAGCCCAGCTGAGGCCCCCTGAGATGCGATGTGCTTGGGCGTCAACGTCGACACGACAGCCTGCTTATCCAATCAACGAGCGTGTGGCAGCTGAGCCTCGTGCCTCGTGTGGACGCCTCACTCTCTCAGGCCGTCTTGCCTGCTAGACCACGCTGTGGCGTCAAGGTTCTGCTGAACTAAGGCCCTCTAAACCTGTCAGGGCGCTACCAGAGCCTTGGCATACCAACCAAACGTTATGGCTATGCATGATTTTTCCGTTGGACCCATCCCAACCTCACACCGTGAACTTTGACAGGTGTATGTCCTACTGCATGCTCGTGGAGATCAACACGTGGCTGCTCATTGCGCGTCGCCGCATTGGTGGCGCAGCCATCACATTTGCGTTTTATGCCACATGGGTGAGCCTGGAGCATGCCAACGTCGTTTGCGTGTCGGATGTGTGTACGCGCGCGTGTGTGTGTGTGCGTGTGTGTGTGTGTGTTCGCGCAGTGTGCATGTTTGTGTGTGGACATGCGTGCGTGCACGTGCGTGTGTGAGTGCACGCGCGTGCGTGCGTGCGTGTGTGTGTGTGTGTGTGTGTCTGTCTGTGTGTCTGTGTGTCTGTGTGTCTGAGCGCGAGCATGCGTGCGCGCATATGCGCATATGTGAGCACGCGTGTGCGCACATCTGCATGTGTGCGGACACTTGTTTATGCCCTAGTGCTTTTGACACAGCGCGTCTGCAAGCAGACCCCCATGCGCGTAATCGCGTGTGCAAGTCCCCTTTACCACAAAGCACCTCGACCCAACCGCGCCCCCCCCCCCCGTTGGAAATCTGTGCCCCGCCTCGCCAGGTCGGCCTGCGCAACATTTGGTACCCTTACTTGATTTGGGCCTTTGCAGTGGAATTTGAGCACGAGTCCAAGCTCGCGGGGACCTACCTCAACCCGACAATAATTGCCATGATCTGTCAGGTCGCGCTGACCATTCTTAATTACTACTGGACCTTCCAGCTCGTCCACAAGCTGGTCAGGACGCAGGCAACAGGTCCATGCACCAAGGGCGGCAGTGGCGGCGGCGAGATGTCGAAGCCCGGCTCCAAGCCAATGGCACAGATTTATGCAGAGCACTTGTGAGTGGCGGGCCGCTTTCTGGCGCGCTGGGGGTGTTCACAGTGTCAGCCGGCGCTGTTGCGTGGGCGTTGCTGTTGTTGCTGGTGCAGCTATGGCACACAGGCAATCCCACGTCATCTTGTGAAGAGTGTGCGCGGGCCATTTTGAGGTGGCCTATGTTCACGTGCAGCTGGGCATGCCGCGGTCTTTTGTACTGCTTTCAACCAGTGAGCCCCTGTCACTCATTTGCCAAATCTCACCCATTGCCACAGCGATCGTTGCTACACCGTACATGTATTGGCGCCATAAACTTGCACTGATGACTGTTTTTTGCTGACCGTGTGGGGCTCAGCCCTCGGACTGAGACGTGCTTAGTACGGCGGCACCAGCGCCATTTGGCTCCATGAAACGTGCGCCCAGCAGCAGCAGCAATGCGGGGATGCCGCCGTCCCGCTGCGTGGTGTAGATAGATGCGCAATGTGACGGAGGATGCCCAGTTGTTTCCGTTGACCCCAGCCCCCCGCTGTTGCCATGCCACGCAAAGTGTGCGTGTGATGGTTGCGCCTGTTTTCATTTGCCAGGCATTACTTCTGCCAAATAGACATTCGTTGGCCTTGCCGGAGCACTCCTACGAGGCAGGCAATCAAGGACAGGCGCCGCGCGCTTTTACCTGCATGTTAGCAAGCGCCCTGTTGACAGCGGCTGTTTGTGTGTTCAAAGTGCGCCGTGTACATGCGAAGCTTTGGCACCTGCGATATGTTTGCAAACCAGAAAGGGCAGGATCGGTACGGCTGAGTTGGTCCTTGATTCACGCTAAGAAATTCCACTAACACAGCACTGCAAATGGGATGCAATTGTCAACACCGTGTCTGTAACCACGCTGGCCCACGCCACCCTCCGCGCTTGGCCACAGTTTCTTGGTTCAGGTCACTGGTAGCATTGGAGTTTGCTTGAAGCAACGATCAGCCACAGCATCAGCTTTGAAAGCGGCTGCGAGCCATGCACACGCCATCGCAGCTGAGCCCGCACAAATTGCCCAACTGCCAGATTATCACGCATCCTGCCATTCGAAGCCGCCACACCGGCTCCTTCAACAATCTCCCTCTCATCTGCCCGTCTGTCTTTAAGATTGCTTTGATTAGAGCCGGCCCTGAAATCTCTCTGACTGCTGCATGCCTGCCTACCAGCAGCTCTGAACAAACGCTCTCGCCGTTCTCAAGGTGCAGCCTGGCCTGCCTGCCTGCCCGCGTGACCCGCCCGGTGTTCCTGGTCCGCAAGCGGACATGCGGCACATCCACCAGTCAACTACTTTCCAGCCCGTTTAATCCCGGTGACACTCAACAACCAAGCCATTTTTGGTCAAACCGTGGCTGCAACCCTTGACTGCCGTGGAAATCCATTGGGGAACTTGTGGCTTCTGCCCCACATTCTTCCTGCATTCATGTGCCGCGCCCACCTGCATAGTGCGCTTCTCCACGTACGCACGTGACTTTTTCCGCACGCAGGATTGCTATGCTTCACAGGCAGAACAGAACGGCTGTAAATCAGGGTTGTGTTGAGAGTCCTGCTATGAGTCAGCTCGCGGCTCTATCTCACATGCCAGCACAGCCAGGAGCATGCGTGTCAATGCTGGGTAGCCTGCAATCGTGCAGTGAGCCCCACAAAACGGCGCCGGCAGAGGCCTCTCACCAATCATCGTGCGTCCTTTTACAATGTGGTGATTGGACGCTTGGCTGGTGAAAATGCGGGCGTGTAGTATGCACAAGCTCCACCCAGCCATGAGCCCCGGCCGATTACCAGAGGTGGTTAAACAACTAAATCGTATTACGCAAGAGGGGGCGACACATGGGAAAGGCGCGGCTAGGCGCGGCTAGCCGCGGTGCAAGGCGCCATGGCCTAATAGTGAGTGACAGTTGATTCGCGCAGGCGGTTTGCTTGCCGCCCGCAGCGTCACCACTCTGGCGGCCCTGTGCTGCCAGTCGTGTCTCAAAAAATCTTGCGGAATACATTTCTGAAACCATGTATACAAAACGGATGTGCAGGGGTGAGCGCGCAGCCATAGACAAGTTATTCATTTTAAAGTTTTTGATATGAAATTAACCGGGCCCTCACAGATGCCCTGCAAGCGGCGGGTCGTACACAAGGAGCCCATACTGCATCCCCTTTGCTCTGCAAGCATTGAACAAATAGGCACCAGGTAGCGGCATGAGCTGTGCCCCCAACCAAACACTGTGCAATTGCGCCACATTCACTGCTGGGTGACCTGCTCCCGGCTGCGCATGGTGCAGCACAAAAAGGGGCATCCCATGGGCGGCACGTGCCTCAAGGCGCCAGCAGGCTGCGCCGCTTGCGGGCCGTCGGGGCTGACGCCGCCTTGATGGTGATGCTGCGTGATTGGGACGTGCCCGCTTGGTTGACCGCGGTGACATCAAAAAGGAACTACATGTGTGTATGAGTGTGTGCGTGCACGTGTTTGTTTGTGTGTGTGTGTGTTTGTGCATGTGTGTGTGTATATGTGCATAGGTGTGTGTGTGTGTCTGTGTCTGTGTGTGTGTTCGTGTGCTTGTGTGCGCGCGCGCACGCGTGCGTTTACGTGCACATGTGTGCATACGCGTGTGCTTGTGTGCACGTGTGACACGACTCCTGGCCAGCAAGGACGCTGTCACACCACACCCCTTCTGTCCCCTCAACACCCACACGCAGCACTCAGCCACCCACCACGTTGTCCGCCGGCCCTACGAATTTAAAGATTGACTCGGGAATCGCCTGGCCGGGCTGCCACTTGATTGTGGCCTTGCTCTTCTTCATATTTTGAGTGTTGATCACCTGAGAAAGTCAAGGGTAATGAGCATGGATTGTGAGGGGTTCACAGGCGATCCGCATTGCAATCCTTCAGGGATGGGCGAGGACATTGACCTGGTAGATTAGTGCCGCATCAATCAAGGGCAAAAAGGCGGAGCTGTGGCAAGGCGGCAGGGGGTCTGATGCTGGCATGTCAACGGATGAAGCCCACAAGGACCAGGCGTGAGCCTGGAGGCAGCGCGCGCGGCTGTGGGCACCAGCACGCATGCGGACGTCACAGCCTCAGGCTGCAACAAGGCACTGGGGCCATGACTCGAAAAGGATAACCCCGCATGACGTGAGGTTTTACCCCTAAACTTTCAACCCTCAACAGCTTCAAAGGCCCGTACGGAGGCAGCGGCAACGTCGCCCACGCGGCAGCCAGCTCGCACCGCACCGTTCAAACCGCGGCAGCGGGCTCCCCCACCGCACCGTGCGTGTGCGGATCGGTCTCAAGCGGCGGCGCGAGGGGCGCGTCTCACCTGGATCAGATAACTGTCGACGCACTGTTCTCCCCTGGGGGGATCCCAGGTCAGCCTGATCTCCGACCTCCCTGCCACCGTCGCCGACGGCTGATTGGAGAGCTGCCTCACGTCCCGCACTGGGCCTGGGGGCGCGGTCTCGGAGCAGCCCGAGGGGGGCGTCGCCTGGGGCGCGGGCTGCGGGTACTCCTCTTGTATGACAAGGCCGTCAGCCTCCGGCGCCGGCGCCGGCGCGGGCTTCGGCGCGGGCTTCGGCGCCGGCGTCGGTGCGGGCGTCGCCTTTGGTGGCGGCGGCGACGGCAGCGGCGGCGGCGGCGACGGCCGCGGCGGAGGTGGGGATGGCCGCGGC